GAGAAATTAAAGATTATACCCTCTTATTCCTCTTAGGATTATACTATTAAAATAAAACCTAATAAATTATTACTATTTAGTCCACTATATCCCTTATCCTAAGCAGAACTTTATGAATTAAAGGAGTATCTTAATAAGAATATAGTATATAGAAGAATTTAACCTTCTAAAAGCCCTACTAGAGCTCCTATTCTCTTTATCCTAAAAAAAGATAGGGGGTTAAGACTATATATTAATTACTATAGACTTAATAAAATAATAGTAAAGAATTAGTATCTATTACCCCTTATATTAGAGATTCTTAACTAAATCTCAGGGGTGAAATACTTTAGTAAGATTAATATCTAAAATATATATTATTAAATCTATATTAAGGAAGGAGATAAATAAAAGACAGCCTTTTATATCTAATATAGCTACTATAAGTATATAGTTATACTTTTTAGTCTTATAAATATACTAGCTACCTTCTAGAATTATATTAATACTATCTTATATAATATTCTTAATATCTTTTATATTACCTATCTTAATAATATCTTAATTTTCTCCTAAATAAAAGAGGAATATACTAAATATATCTCTTAAGTCTTAGAAAGACTATAGAAGGTAAAGCTTTATACTAAACCCTCTAAATATATCTTCTACTAAAATTATATTAAATTCCTAGGATATATTATTTCAGCTAATAGTATATCTATAGATATAAGCTAGATAGAAACTATTATTATATAGGAGGAATCCTATAGTTACTATAATATCTAAGTCTTCTTAGGTTTCTATAACTTCTACTAATAATTTATTAAGAACTATTCCTTAATTACTTTACCTTTAACTAATCTCCTAAGAGGAATAAAAGAAGGAAAGAAACTAGGATTAGTAAAGTTTAATCTTATTAAAAAGCTTATATTTTAAAGACTTATTATAGTCTTTTAAGTAGTACTACTATTATATTACTTTAATCTAGCTCTACTAATTTAGATAGAGATAGATACCTTAAAGGATAGTATAGCTAGTATTCTCTCTTAACTAGATAAATAAGGAAGATAGCATCTAGTAGCCTTCTAGTTAAGAAAGTTTATAGGAGCTAAACTTAATTAGGTAATACTAGATAAGGAATTATTTACTATTATTTATTTCTTTAAATATTAGTATTAGTATACTAAAGGAGCTATATATTAGATTAAGGTCCTTTCTAATTATACTAACCTATAAGGTTTTATAAAATAACTAAAGTTAAATAGCAGACAGGCCTATTAGTTAATTTTATTAATATTATTTAATTTTATTATTAAATATTAAAAGGGAAAGGCTAACCCTACTAATATATCTATAAGATAATATAGTAACTAGATTATACTATAGTCTAATAATAATAATATTATTATACTAATTTATAAGTAAATGGTTACTGTGCAGTTACTAAGGACTAAGGGTTAAGATAACTATAAATTAGAGCTAGATAATATACTATTAAAGCTCTACTATTATAAAGACTACCTATAGTAAGAGGTGATTTACTAAGATAATCTATAGTAGTTAACTAATAACTATTTAATACTATAAGCCTTAGTTAAGTATACTACTTAAAAGAAAAATATTTATAAATATAAAACTACTTAAGACCTTAAGGGGTTAATTAAATAATTATAAACTAAAGATATTAAGGCTTAATACTAAATTACTACTATTAGGCAGGATACTATAGGGTAAAAATATTAGAATATTAATTCTAAAGATCTTTTATAATTTAAAGGTAAGTTATTTATACTTAATACTAAATAATTAAGAAATTAATTAATTAGTATTTACTATAATAAATCACTAGCTAGTTACTTTAGTAGAAACTATACTAAAGCCTTACTAAGATAAAAGTTTCACTAAATAAATCTATAAAATAATATTAAAGCATATATTAAAGAATATCTAATATACTAAGGCACTATAGTACTAAGGTATAGACCTTATAATAAGCTTAATTTATTACTATAACTATCCTATCTATTTAGTAAACTATTAATAGATTTTATAACTAGACTTCTAATAATACTACATGAGATTAATCTAATTAATAGTATTTTAGTTATAGTTAATAGATTCTTAAAATAGTCACTCCTCTTCCCTATCTTAATAATAATAACTATAGCAGAACTAGTAGAACTATTCTATTAAGAAGTTAAATTAAAATTTAGACTACCTAATAGTATTATTTTAGATTAAGGACTAGTCTTTACTAGTAAATTCTAAGTAAAATTATATTATATTATAAAGATTAAATAAAGACTATTAACTATATTTTATGCCTAAACTAATAGCTAAATAGAATAGATAAACTAAGTCCTTAAAAGATATCTCTATTATTTTATTAATAAAGAATAAAATAACTAAGTAACTCTGCTAAGAGAAGCTAAGTTTACTATAAATAAAGTAATTAATATATTATTAAGTAAATCCCTATTTAAAATCTTACTAGGGTATAATCTAGACTTTTATATATATACTAAGGATAGCACTATAGGGGGAGAGATCCTAGCTATAATAATATAAGTATAAAAATTTTTAGATCTTTAAGAAAGATTAAAGAAATAATAGTATAAAGCTAGTAAAATATAAGTAAAGTACTATAATAAATATTATAAGAAGTTAGTATTAGAAAAAAGATAACTAGTAGGGCTATTAATAAAGAATCTTAAATTAAAGATTTTAAGTAAGAAGCTAGCTCCTACTTTTATTAGACTTTTTTATATACTAGATACTATTAGATTATAAGTATATTATCTTACTTTACCTATAAAATATAATTAAATTTATAATATCTTTTATATATTATACTTAGAACTATAGAATTAGATAAAGTATAATTAATTACTACTAATGCTAGAGCTTAAAGATAATAATAAATAGAAAGTTAAAGAGGTTAAGGATAGCTATATTATTAGAAATAAATAGTACTATTTAGTTAAATAGAAAGACTAATCTTTAGAATATAACTAATAGGTTTATACTAATGATATAACTAATGCATGAGAAGTAATATAGAAATATAAGAAAAGAATTACTATTATTAACTAATATAAAGGTGCCAGGAAGGCTTAGCTAAGGCTAAGTATAATAGATAAAGATAGAATATAATACTAACTTAAATATCCTTAAGTACTAAAGGAAAAGACTAATTAATATTAGTTAAGTAAGTCTAGCTAGTAACTACTATTTTATTATTATAGAAATAGATACTAATTATCTTAATCTCCTCTATAAAAAAGAGAAGAGAGGCAGCCTAAGCTATATATCTAATATTATTAAATATAAGTTAAAGAGCTTTAGTTAAATAATATATAGCCTAATTATTAGTAGTAGCCCTAGTATTTAGGTACTAAATATAAGCTATTTTAATATAATAACTTTTAAGGAACTTATTATACTTATTACTCTATAAGAATATTAGTATTAAGATAGTACTATAGTAATAAATTAACCTAGAAACTTATATACTATTTCTTTTTCTTTTCTATAATACTATATAACTAATAGTAGTTCTACTCTATATTCTTAAAGATATTAATAAGCCTAAGAAGGATAACTAAAAAGTCCTTAAAAAAACTTAGATCCTAGGTATACTAGGGATTAAAGAACCTAGTATACTATTTAATAATAGTAGATAGATTAAGGGCATTTCTAGTTATACTAGGCATAGCCTAGAAATAGCTATTAATACTAAAATAATATATAAATCTAATATAATATATAGGTTTATAGAGTAAATAGTAGGTATTATACTAGATATACTTTATAGAAATACTATCTATAAGCTTATAATTAACTTTAAAAGGAAGGCCCCCTTAGGGGTTAAAGTTCTTTAATATAATATAGAGGTAGTATATATACTAGTACTTTCTATAGATAATAATATTAGCTATAATAAAACTTAATAGTAAGGAATATAAAGAAGTAAAATATAGTAAAAATAAAAGAGAGATTATAAAATTTAAAAGGACTTAAATCTTAAGTATTAATAAATAAAGAAGAATTATAATACTAAAGAAAATACTATAATATAAAAGAGAAGTATTAATATATAAAGTTAAAAGAAGAGAAAATATAAATAAAGATATAATTAAAGATAAATATACTATAGTTATTATCTATAATAATATTATTTACTACCACACCATAGTATATAATAATAAAGAATATAATAAATTTTAAAATATATAAAGCTAATATAATAGAAGTATTATATCTATCCTATAATTAGTTATCCTTATTAATAATATTATATTATATTAACTATTATAATATTATTTACTCTTTAGGAAAATTTAAGGTTATATAACTCTAACTAAAGATAGTTATTATAACTAGAGAAAGTATAATTATAAAGGCTTAGCTATAGCCTAGCTACTTAATTATATAGCTACCCCTTATATCCTAATTATTTTTAACCTCCTATTTTCATACCTTAAGCTACTTTTAAATCATTACTAAATATATCTAGGATAGATAGTAAAGATAAATAGTATTCCTCTTATCTAATATTTAAGAAGATAAGGATTAATTTTATTATAAACTAATCTACTACTCTCTATCATTCTTTTCTATTAATTATCATCACCAATTCTTACCTAGTCAACAGGTTATCTACCCTGTGACGTAGATCCTTACAGATATGTAGCTTCAAAGGATCAAGCCATTCTCTCATAAGGCTGATGGAAACCCCACTGTGGCAGTGCAATCGCGCTGCAAAGTGGAGCTGCACTGCCACACTTCCACACTTCCGATAAGATGGAGCCAAGGCAGCAGCCCCATTTCTTTACCTAAAAAGGTTGTCTGGTCCTCTTCATGTTCCCAGTGCGCCAAATATCCTCATTCCTTAAGGTTTCAAACTATCTGAGGCCGTCCAATATAACGGGTACCTACTCAGTTATCTCTGGGGGAAGCAGATAATTCATGCTTTGTTTTCCTCGTCTATCTGCCATTCTGCCCTTCTGTTTCGTCCAACTATGTCCGCGCAAGAGTACTACAATTCAGGCTATATCGGTGGCCGAAAGCCAGATACCCCATTCAGCGACAACGGCAGCAATCGACCATGGACCCCGCCATCCTCGACGGTCACTCCAGGACCTGAAATGTCCTACTCAACACGAGTAGAAGATCGTCCTTACAACTATGGTGCCTCGCCCCCGCCCACAACCAGCTATGGGCGTCCTCAGAACGTATATCCATCCCAGCCTTTGGGTGGTATGGCTCCGGGATTTTCTTCGCAGACAGAACCGCAGCAGTACGACAATGAATATAACAACTCTGGTCCTCCACCTTACACCCAGCACTACTATGGCTCGCCACAGCAGTATCCCCCATATCCTACACATGACGCCTATCCTGAGCATCCGCCCACTCAGTCGCCGTATCCGCAGGATCAGAAGGATGAAAGAGGGTTTATGGGAGCGGTTGCTGGAGGCGCTGTAGGCGCCTACGCCGGTCATCAGGTCCATCACGGCGTCCTGGGGACTATCGGAGGAGCGATCACTGGATCTCTCGCTGAGGATGCGATCAAGAAGCACAAGAAGAAGAAGGAGAAAAAAGAGGGCAAATCGGGCCATGGTCGCCGCTCCTCGTCCTCCTCTTCGTCGTCCGACAGCGACGACGGGCGGGCCCATCATCAACACCATCCTCCGGCGGAGCCCTCTTTCCGAGGCAACTTTTCCGCCTCCTCAGCAGAGATTAGCCTCGAGCACGATTACGAGCTGACGGCTAGATGCCGTTCCATCTCAGGAGAACTGAATCGTTCGAGTATCTCGTTGAACTCGGTCCTCTCGAACCACTTCGGTTCTTTTGTATGGGCGCGTGGCGGCAATTTTGGAGCGTCGGCGAGAAATGTGCACCTTGCTGAAGGTGGAAGAGTGCTTGATGCTGAGCTGGCCGATGGAAACGGACACTGGAAGAGGGCATGGGTGAGATTGGATGAGCGGATCACGAACCAGAACGGGCATCTTGTATTCCTGGATTGATGATCGTGAGGCTGGTACCCTATTTGTTGCAATTCAATGTCAGCTGATGGCTCCTAATGAAATTCAACCTTGTGGTTAACTCTAATAGCAGTTCTTAGGACTAGAAAGACTTAATCATCTCAGTTCAAGTCAAGATCATCCATAGTCTTGTATTTTCCAACAAAGGTCGTAGCCGTGGAGAACGGCTGATGACACGACGAATAGCCTCTGAGCGGACTGAACGCATTCCTCAAGTCGTCAGACGGTCCTCACTTACAACTCAGAAGTGAAGACTGAGCACGTCGTGCCTCTAGCAAACAGCATGCATCATGTGACTGCGCCTGTCTCAACATGAGGTGATTGTGTTGTTTGTTTTCCCCTTCCCAAACCACTCACTTAATCTCAAATTCGGAGTTTGTGAGAGATGGACTCCCTTCCCACAGAGCTTCTAACCATAATCCTTCATCATCTCAATGACGAAACCCACGCGCTAAATGCAGTCAAGGACCAAAGGGAGAGATGGCAGTCCGGAAGCCTCGCAAGGTATACAGTTGTTGCACGCAGATGGCAAGCGATTCTCGAACCGATGATATGGGAGACGATATTCCTACTCAAACCAGACGCTCTGATAAGGCTGGAGGTGTACACATCTGGTAGGCCACATCGGATCGCAAGAATCAAATGGGTAAGGAAAATTCTCTGGGAGCCATATGTCAGTTTTGCGTTCCCAGAGAGCCTTTGCGAAGCGATGGAAGACTATCCAACGGCCCTGGCTTGTGTTCTCCCGTACCAGTATCACCGTTTATATCATCAGGCTTTTGCAGGTATCTTCCGCATTTTAAGCCGATGGGAGTCAACATGCGACGAATCGACGGTTGATCTATTTCTTCTTGTGGAGCATCCACCATCTCCGAAGATGTCCATCCGAGTATGGAATTGGGACTATGAGGACTCTACTGTTGAAGACCTCTGGCGGATGGACTTGATAGACCACCTAGTGCATCTCACGAAACAAGATGCTTCAGCATATCCTATACTACACAATGTCAGGTCTCTCAGTCTTGAAACTGCCGTGACCAACATGCGACCTTCGGCGTTCTTTCAGCTTTTGAGCCGGTTGCCCAACGTTCGCCGTGTTTCAGCTGGAGAAAGTTTCTTCATAGAACCATTTGCACTCCGTGCCCTCCGCGAGGAAAGACAATGTTTGTATACTTCATGCTCAATAATTCTTATGATTATTTTCACTGGACGCTGACGACCTCTTCTTACAGCACTTGTCCATTGTCTTCCTCTAGTCCCGCCTTCGGTCGAGGAGTTCGAGTATGAGATTGCACCGGATCGAGAAATGTCGTGGACGCCAGTTGATGATGCAGCCAATTATCTGTCGGTCAGGGGGCTGGATGAGCTCTCCATTGCCTTTCGAACGCTCGCCATGCGACTGATAGTCCTTCATCTGACCAATGTACGGGTCAACAGTGAACTGTTCTGGGCGTCGCCTGAGGAAGACAGGGTCATCGTTGATACACTCAACTGGCCGGTGCTAGAGGTCATTACAATAACGAACACACCTCCATATACAGCAGACGGTATGTTCTGACGGCATGGGGTACTGATTCATGTTACGCTAACTCAATCAGGGAAATGGATTCTGGAAGTTGATCCCAACAGAGAGCCATTGATGGAAATGGCAGATTTTGACAACGGATGGAATTACGATGAACTGGGATTTGACGCACGGGGACTGATTAGAAGTGACGAAGTTGACAAGCTCTACTCGGCAATGGGCAAGGCTGCCCAGAGAATGCCACGTCTGAGATACCTTGAGTTCGGGTTCCGTGGTGAAACCGGAGACTGGGAAAGCTTGATATTCTCTCGGAACCTGCAGACACGAGAGGCTCATTTAGAAATTAGCACCGAGTGGGAGTACGATCTTGGAGACGAGGTCATCACAGCCTGGGGCCTAGAGGGTGAAAAGGCCGAAGAATTCCGGACATACTGGTCGATCGAATTCGATCACTGGCCTTCAGGAGATACTGGCGTCGAAGAGGAGGAAATCTCGGCACGTCCTATCTGATAGCTGTTGAGTTTGCTGGAGTGTGTGCCGGCCGTTGGGTGAATCTCTCGGGTTGATTGCTTGCTGCATATGAAAATGGGTACCTGCCCCAAAGAAACCCTTAGGTAGCCCAAGGAGACAATCAAAATATCACTGTGAAAGAAATCTTGATGATATTACCTTACAGTAGAGAAAGGGGCTTTGAGACTGTGTAGAAAATTTTGTAACATACCAGCTGCTGGTGAATATATCATTAAGCTCAGCATAATCACTTTCTAGACATTCATAGTTTATTCTGTGAATGCATTCAGACTGCTACCACCAGGTCGCCTGTTATTCAGTGTTCAGTTTATTTGTGACTGTCCACTGTATACTTGCCTCCCTTGCCATTGCCATTTACTCCTTCCATCACTCCTCTCTTCTTCTGGCAACTGCTGCACTCTCGCTTCCTCATCTCCTGTGCCTATTCTGGTATTTCAACACTGTAAAGGAGACAGATCAATACCATATCATCATGGTCTCATCTCAATGATACTCTGGGTAAGCCCTTCCAGATCTTGTCTCCTTGCCATCTTCTTACCAGAAAAGCAGAACTAGGATCCCAAAGTTCGAGTGCTTTCAACAGCTCTTTCAAGCTACAGAGCCTTTAGATCTCCTAAGGAACATCTCAATGTTTTAAAAGCGACATTTTCTGTGTGCGGTTTGCCTACACTTACCAAGACGGAGATCGAGTATTGTTCTGCGGATGAGCCTTGCGATGGCAGGGAGAATGGTGATTAGGGGACTTGAAAAGCTCTCTAAAATATGAAGAGTGCACTGGACCTAAAGAAGCGATCTCCGAGGATGAACCTACGCGAGGATGGCCAGAGCCAGTAGACACTTACTCAAGAACGGAACGAAGGGTCTCGCCAAAGCAGGTGCCTGGAAGCAGACCAGGTGCTCCTCCGGATATCGGGTTGCGGGGCATGACAGTCGAGGAGATCAGGGAGGTCCTAGATGCGGCAGGCAGTGCGTCGACTTCAAGTGTTATTGATGCTCTGCTGGAATTTTGATGCACACCTCGATCCAGAAAGTCAGCTCTGTAGCTCCTTATTTCTAGACGTATAGCCCATGTTTACATGCCTGGGTATGCCAGGAGACATTATCCTCACGTGGTAAACGTGAACATACCGATTACCTGGAACCCGTCCCAAAGCAGCATATTCACCGCATCGGACGAAGTGCTAATAGTATCAGAGAAAAGGACAAGGGGGTCTGGCCCAGGTCCATCGCCACAGCCAGAAGGCTGCAGGAACAGATGATGACTGTCAAAAGTATACATGATACGGATCGGCCACAAATCAGTGGTCTCAGTACACATCCTGCTTAAGGACACTGCTCAGCACCTTCTTTCTCTTTTGAAATCAATGCCTTTCCTAAGGCCTCTGTCATCTGCTACTTACAGTGTCTTTCCTCACACTTCTTCCCCTCCGTTCTTATTTCTCCCCACTACAGACGTAATAAAGGCAGATGATAACAGATATCAATGATATCAATTAAATCCTAAGAATGATCGGTATTTGCATACCAGCGTTCTCTGTTTTGTAGCCCCTTGTGATTTATTTGTAGCGAAAATTACCGCAAAGGGACCCTGAAGGTACTGACAATCTTCTTGCGTACCCAAAATCGAGAATGCCAATATTTAGCCCATTTTCTACAGCTCTTTCAAGGAACTTTAGACAATGAAAGTAACAACGGTCTCAAGATTGGATATATCCTTTTCATTGACGAACGCCAATACTGGTGAGAAACATTCCTTCATGAGTGTCTGGGCCTCAATGCGGGTGTCACATCACAGATTATTGTTGTCATCATCTGCAGGCTTAGCTGCACAGCTTCTGGGGTAAGGACAGATATGATTTATATTGATAATGATTATAGGACAGTAAAAGCAGCTGTGGCTTTGTCGACACCCACAATGTACAATGTGAGGACTCTGTGAGAGTAACCATGCCATAAAGACTAGTGAATGTGAGCGAGTGCAACACTGCAACATCTGGCAGACCTGGCCACCCTAACACCACCATCTCACTCACATCTCCCTCTGTCATCACTACAAGCATGCTTTTGTCTCCTTACCATAACCAAACTTCGCATCTGACAAGATCTCTACCATGGGGTTGATAACCTCTCTCCCCTGCGAGGTCCTCGGCCTTGTTCTTGCAAACTGCGAGAGCTTTACTCAGCTACGCGACGCGACATTGACTTGCAAGTCATTTTACTCAGCCTGGAAGTCCCATACCGGGTTGATTCTCTGGAATATTGGTCAATTTGAGATCGTCGGTTTTACCGACGCGTTGATCGCTGTAAGCACTTTTCTCATTCTCCCGCTGGCCCTTGAGTAGGCCTATCCTCGCTAATGAACCATAAACTTCTAGGTGAGAGCAACAGAGATTGCAAAGCAAGCGATTCTGAAGGGACATCTCCCACCCTCTCCATTCCCTCTGGGTCAACTGAGCGGAGACGTCCGCAAACCAACACTGGATGAGCTGAAAGTTCTGTTCAATTTCCGGCATTTGGTCGAGTGTCTTGAACGGCTTGCCAAGGACGACAGTCACGCATACTGGTGTGATTTCATTGAAAGTCTCGAGCCGGAAGACAGGATCAACGCGTGGATGGTGTGGAAGGAGCGCTTTCATGTCGCGTTGTATCGGAGCTTTCTTTCTGGCGCTGCGCTGTATCGTGCGTACCACGAGCCATTAACTCTGGCAAGCACTTGTGGTCTTCCGCATTTCCTGGACAAATTCTGGAGCAATATGGAAGACGAAGACGGAGAGGATGAAGAGGAAGAGCAAGAGGAAGATCATCACAGTGACCCTTTTACGCCGGCTGAGAAGCGCTACCTGGTCCAGTATCCCATATTCAGATTTGAGGAATTCCAATATCACGGGGATATATTCCAGCCTCTGGCGGATATCTTCGTACAGGAGAGCAAGAGAAAGACCGAGGTGGTGAGTACGTTAAGAGGTGCGAGTCTCTATGAGCGGTACGGTGCAAAGCAATATGACCCTGATATCCTCGAAAGAAGTCATTCCCAGGCGCTCTTCCATCAACTCTTGCAGTTCATGTTCGTTGCGCATAGTCCGATGCTCAGAAAAATAATCCGAAATGAGGATGGAAGCGATTATCAGCAGAGGCACAATGAACCGACACTCAAAGAGATGATCGGACGTAGCCGTACCGTCTCCGTTATCTTTTTTGATGTGTTTAGTCTCGAGGAGATTATCATGCCAGAGGATGTGGAAGATGCAGGCGAGACGTTCGTCCTTGCACGTCCCGGTGTCGAGCGTCCTATGGTCGATGAGGCTAACTTGCCCGGACTTGAATATGCGTCCCGCAATCTTGGGCTCTTCCTCCACGAGATTAAATGGTTCTCTGGCCAGCCAAATTGCTACTGGCCAGGCTGTGGGACCCCTCCTCCCGAGTTTCAGTTTATGCGATACATGCTGGCCAAATACTTCCACCTCCGGTTCAAAGACGACACGTGGGATTGGGAAAACAACCGCAACCACGCCCAGCCTATCTTACCCTGGATTAGATTCATCATTAGCGGTGATGTCTTCTGTGAGCGTATTCTGGTGGACGAATGTGAAGGCGCCTGTGCCCTCTTGGAGTCAATTAATGCTCCCATTCCTGAGCCTCATTTTGTTCATCGTTCTTCTTGGCCATGATACATGTATTCGGATTTGATTTCTCATCGAAGATATGATGGAATCATTTCCATATCATCAAGACCGCTTGAGTCTCATTGGGTGAGGCATCGAAAGGGCAAGTCAGTAATGAATCCACTACGCCGAATTTAAGAAAAAATGAGCAGTTGTCTGCCATTCATAAAGTACTAAGATGTCAAGTCTTTCCACCGCCCCTGACGAAGTGGTATGTACACTCGATGCATTCTTACTAGGTTGTTCGAACTTCGAACTACGGAGTACTGCCGAACAGGATAAAGTTTTCACGATAAGGTTATTCAGGTTGAAATTGAATACGGATACTTAGCCAATCAACATCCTCCATCCGAAACTATTGCGTCTCTAGTGGCGAATCTCCACTCCACCGTCATATGCCTGAAGAGGCAAGAAATACGGATACGGAGAGGTATCGAAGTCTTGCAGTTTGCTATATTATTCGTCTGCCTGATGACTTGAGCCATTATCCCATCCGCTCTCACTTGTCTCTTCCCTACTCACTTCTGGCAGTAATCTCAGAACCATGGGAAGACCTGAGACACGTGCCCAATCCTCTGAAAGCGATGGACCTCCACCGTATTCACCCGTGAATGGTGAACTTGTTGCGGAGTCGGCTGATGTTCGAGGTAAGTAAGTGACGATGTCAAGTGGTATATTGTTAACTAGGCCAGCCGATGGACGAATTGACGTTGATCTGAACTCGAGGATTGCCCGCACACTCGCTCAGATCGTCGAGCTGCAACAGGAAGACGTCCACAGCCCACCTCCCAACTATGAGCAGGGGCTGCAACAGCAGCAACGTCAAGATTATCAACTACAACCGATTGAGTGCAACATCCACCTCAATATTGTGATCCAGATTGTTGGTAGCCGCGGCGACGTCCATCCTTTTATCGCCCTAGGTACCGAGCTGCAAAAGCACGGTCATCGCGTCCGTCTAGCCACACATGATGTTTTCGCAGACTTTGTACGATCGTCCGGACTCGAGTTTTATCCCATCGGCGGTGATCCAGCGGAGCTTATGGCCTTCATGGTGAAAAATCCCGGCCTCCTACCGCAGATGAACAGCCTTCGGGGCGGGGAGATCCAGAAAAAGCGAGCCATGGTTGCAACGATGCTTGACGGGTGCTGGCGTTCGTGCATCGACGATGACCCGCTTACCAAGGTCCCCTTTGTGGCGGATGCAATTATTGCGAATCCGCCCGGCTTCGCGCATGTGCATTGTGCGCAGGCCTTGAGGATCCCGGTCCATCTGATGTTTACCATGCCGTGGAGTAGTACGACTGCTTTCCCTCAACCGTTGGCGAATTTGCGGCCGTCGGATATGAGTCCCCGGACGGCGCACTGGGTTTCGTATGGTGTGGTAGAGTGGCTGACCTGGCAGGGGTATTTATTCTCTGTCTGCATGCAGTTCATACAACTTACACGGACTAGGTTAGGCGATGTGATCAACCGATGGCGAGCCACTATTGACTTGGATCCCATTCCTATGGCCGAGGGGCCCAGTTTGGCAGAGACCCTCAAGATCCCTTTCACGTACTGCTGGTCTCCAGCTCTGGTACCAAAGCCTACGGACTGGGCTGAACATATCGGTTAGTACTCCATTGTGTCTACCCGGAATATACTCATAACCATAGATGTGTGTGGCTTCTTCTTCCGGCATCCACCGTCGTACCAACCACCACCAGATCTCGAGCAATTCCTTGCTTCAGGGCCACCACCTGTGTATATCGGCTTTGGAAGCATCGTTGTGGACGACCCGCAACGCTTGTCTAATACAGTATTGCAGGCAGTTGCAGAGTCGGGTGTTCGTGCCATCGTGTCACGAGGTTGGAGCAAGTTGGCCGGAGACGGGAATCCAAACATCTTCTTCATCGGCGACTGTCCCCACGAATGGCTGTTCCAGCATGTTTCGGCGGTTGTCCACCACGGAGGGGCTGGAACGACCGCCTGTGGTCTTGCCAACGGGAAGCCAACGGTCGTCGTACCTTTTTTTGGAGAGTGAGTCCGCGTTCTTCTATACACTGGCCAAGGGCTCACTAGTGTTTAGTCAACAATTTTGGGGAAGCATGATTGCAAGGGCTGGGGCAGGCCCATCTCCCATTCCCCATGCTACACTCAGCGTTCAGAATCTGGCCGACGCTATTCGATTCTGCCTCAAGCCACAGACCGTTGCTGCTGCGCGTGAAATTGCCGCCAAGATGCAGTATGAGTCGGGCGTCACTGCCGCCGTACAGTCCTTCTACCGGCATCTTCCGCTGGAGCAGATGAGATGCCAGGTATTCCCAGACCAGGTTGCTGTATGGACATACACGAGGTTCAAGCGTGAAATTCGATTATCGAGGAAAGCCGTGCAGATTCTCATCGACCACCTAAAGATTGATCCAAAGAATCTCCGCTGGTGAGTTTGCAATCTCCAATTTTCGTCGCGACACTGACGCGTCAGTTATGATATTAAACCGATCGTCATCGAGAACCGCCGCTGGGATCCCCTCACTGGCGTCACCTCCGCAGCCGTAGGCACCGGCACTGACCTGCTCAAAAATACCACGAACATGTTCTACAAACCGTACAAAGAACTCGCTCGCAATAGGACCGAAGTCTCCTCCGATGGCGAAGAGCGCAACCCTGTTGCCACCGCCGGGGCCATGGCAGGGCAATTTGCCAAAAGTTTCGGACAGTTCATGGGGTCGTACACTAGGGGTGTCATTGTAGATATCCCGCACGCTGCAGCGGAGGGATTCCGGCAGGTCCCGCGCCTGTATGGCGAACAGCCCAAGAACTACGGGGCTGTGCAGGATTGGAAGTCGGGGGCTACGGTTGGGGGAAAGAACTTCGTGGATGGCATGATGGAAGGATTCTCGGGGCTGGTCACTCAGCCGATCAAAGGGGGGAAGGAGGAGGGCGCGCTGGGTGTTGTCAAGGGTTTGGCAAAGGGAACAGCGGGATTCATGACCAAGGTTCCTTCCGCTGGACTGGGGCTCGTCGCGTATCCATTTCAAGGTATTGTGAAGAGTATTGAGTCGTCGGTTAGGTCCAAGACGAGGAAGGCTATTATCACGGCGCGACTACGGGATGGGTATGAGTTGAGCAGACGGGAGGCAGTTTCGCAGGAGGAGAGACAGTTTGTCCTGCAGAAGTTTCAGAGTCTTTTGTGCAGTACAAATACCTCCCCTACCTAGATCTGGGAATTGGGACTCATTCAGGGGCTTCAAGCCTGGCCTAAGGCACAAATCGATATCAAGGCATCAACAAAGTCACAGGACTGTGTGGGATGAATCGGATGATCCATTGCTGGTGCCACGCGCAGACACCAAGCGAAGGACGCATCAGGATAAAAGCCAAACACCATAGAGTCAAAGCAATAGAAACCTTTTACTATTACCACTATTATGATTTAGCCTCTTACTACAAGCATAACATTTACTGCAGCTGTCAGCTCATTACCCTTGGTGCACTGTGGCATCTCTTGTCGCACTTATCCCAACATGGTTCGCACGTCTTGGACGTAGTTGTGCCTTCACTATACTTCCTCTGCATCTTGAGACACGCGAAGCATCCAAGTTATGGTGCAATAGTAATGGAAGCCAATACCACGGTCGCCCAGCGCCTTGTCCCAATTGCTCCTGCGCCAGCTAGGGCACCCTGCGTCGACCTGGCAGACTTGACACAATGCCCTTCAACTGCCAAGCTTGTGTACGCAAAAAAAAATCAAATGCGATAGAGCTGTGCCAATATGCCCAAGCTGCAGCAAAGCAAAGCTCCAGTGCATCTACCAGGCTCCACTGCCGCGGAAGAGGAAGCGAAGCCATTCCGAAGATGTGTATGAACGTCTAGCACGGTACGAGCGCATCTTGCAGGAGAACAGTCTTCTCCCTACGGGTTCTACATCGACCCCATGCGGCAAGGAGACGGAAGCGTCGTCAATCAGTACACGGGACCCAACCCCAGTGCAACCCGCTAGGTCTGGTAAACTCCTTTCCGCCGAGGGCAAGTCTCGCTATATTGACAATGTTCTCCTCCTTGAAGCTGGAGAGGGCGACCTGTGTGAATTATCCGATTCCGACCACGACGACTACAACGATGACACCGGAGCTGATGAGGGCACCCGGACTGGACTTCTGGGTGTCCTCGCAGCACATACAGTCTCTGGGGCGATACTTGGAAGCACCCAGAGCCTCACTGGCCAACATCCCAGCTATGAGGAGGCTACGAAGCTCTGGAGTGTCTACGTGCAAAACGTTGACCCCCTTTGCAAGGTCCTTCATGTTCCGTCTGTCGCAAAAATGGTCGACACAGTCGCAAAACAACCTGCTGCGGCCTCGAAGACTGACGAATGCCTGCTTTTTGTTACCTACTATTTCGCCGTTTTTTCCATGGCAGATGCCGACTGTTTGCAAGCGTTCAACCAGACAAGGAACCATTTGATGTCGAGATATCGGTCCGCTGTTTGCCAGGCACTTGTCAATGCGTCGTGGTTGAAGACTACAGCGATGCCGGTACTACCGGCTTACACTCTTTTTCTCGTTGCCATGCGCACGCAGATCGATTCTCACACGTTTTGGATTTGACAGGCATTGCAGTTCGCCTCGCACAACGCATGGGGCTCCACCGTGATGGTGAAAACCTGGGATTGCCACCATTTGAGGTCCAGATGCGACGGCGGCTCTTTTGGCAACTGCTTCCACTGGATGGCTATGCGGGCCAAGTTTGCGGTACTGGGATCTCGATATCGCCGAATAGTTGGGATACCAAGCAACCGCTGAACATTAACGATGAACGGATCTTCCCCGGCATGACGCAGCAGCCTCAAGAGCAACGAGGCGCCTCGGAAATGATTTTCTGCTTGTCGCGGATTGAGCTGTCCAATTTCTATACGCGAACGGGTGTTAAAATGAAGGAAATCGGTGGTACGATTCAATTCAGGGAGGCAGAGGACATCAAGAGGCTCATTGACGAGGTCGAAGATCTCATCGAGACAAAGTTTCTTCGATACTGCGATATCCTGAACCCCTTGCACCTTTTCACCACGGGAATCGTACGATCTGCCACCAATGCCGTCCGATTGCGTGCTCGAATGCCACTGTTGCTGAAGCAAACCATTACCGACGCGCAAAGGAGGGACCTCCGCACTCTCGCAGAAAAGATCCTCGATACAAATAGCGCCATCTACGGCAATCCCAGCATGAAGAAGTTCCGGTGGCAGATGCAAGCTTTCTTCCTGTGGGATGCCCTTCTTTGTATCCTTCTTAGCCTGTCAGAAGTCGGCTTCTACTGGACGTCGGAGCTAAATACTACCTGGAACAAGGTTGCAGAAGTCTATTCGAATCACGAAGAACTTATCAAGCGCAAGAGAACCCTGCACGTCACCATTGGTAAGCTAACTCTCAAGGCCTGGCTCGCGAATCCACCCAGTAATTCGTCCCCGGAGCCGGCTTTCATAACCGCGCAGCGCGCACAACACGAACGGAAAGTCAAGAGGCCGCAGGAGAGCGTTGATGAAATGGAGGAAACCGACAAGGTTGCGGACGGTATATTTGCTTGTGATGAGCTTTTTCGCGACATTGATGGAACAGGCTTGGATCTTAGGAGTGGCTTCACTCTCGACTCTTCAGATTGGGTGGTTTGGGATCAGCTGTGTCGAGGGACAAGTCTGGGCTGAGCGGGCGGCTTTCATGCCCAATGTCTGCGTGGACTCTTACAGCACGATACATTGACACAGCTCATTTACGATGAGTTCCTAATGGGAGAGTGCTGGCCATCATTCGTTTCAACAGTCAACATGAAGCCGGATAGTCCTAGCCCTGTCCTCATCATAGGAGTTGCGTCAGGCATTGCTATTGGACAACTGGTAACGAACAATGGCATTGCTGACATCGTCTTCGAGGCCTCTTGAGGACCCTTCTCCTATCTTTACGGTCCAGCAACATGAGGCCTAGCTGTACAGAGTATATGTTGTCTAAACACGGCCGGCCCCGGGCCCGAAGAAAGGCCCCCTCCCGTTGGACAGCGCGTCGGTCGTCACGGGCGATCCGGGTCCGAATCGGAATACGTCCCGGTGATTGGCTGCTTGATACATAAGAGATATGTATAATAAGTATAAGAAGTCAGGCAGCCCAGAATTAAGAATCAGTGGATGATATCCATCCAAGATGAGCGATAAGAGCCCGAGCGCCTCCGACGAGGGCATCGCACCTCGCCCTGAGAAAGAAGACCTCGAAGCAGCCAAAGTGACAACCTCAACCGAGCCGTCCTACAAAGACCCAGATCTCGCCACATGGAGAGGACCCGATGACCCAGAGAACCCCAAAAACTGGCCCAACGGCCTGAAGTGGAAGAACACCTGGATCGTCTCCCTCTTCGTCCTCATCTCACCCGTCTCATCATCCATGATTGCCCCGGCCATGCAAGATCTCGGCGACAACCTGGGGATGCGCACCAACGTTGAGGTGTACCTCTCCATGGCCATCTTCATCCTCGCCTACGCCATCGGCCCCATCTTCTTCGGTCCTGCTTCGGAGCTCTACGGTCGTGTGAGTCTGCTTCAGGTCAGCAACGCGTGGTACCTAGCCTGGAATCTGGGATGCGGTTTCGCCAAGACCAAGGCTCAGCTGTTTGCTTTTCGCTTTCTTGCTGGCATTGGTGGCAGCGCGCCGCTGGCAATTGGAGGAGGTGCCATTGGGTAAAGAGAGACGCAATCGCCGGATTCTTCCTTTGCTAACCCGTCTTGCAGCGACATGTGGAGCGCCGAAAAACGCGGCAAGGCCGTGGGCGTCTACACTCTTGGACCGCTCCTTGGACCTGTCATCGGGCCAATTGCCGGCGGCTTCATTGCTCAGTACTCAACATGGCGCTGGGTCTTCTGGGCAACCTCGGCTGCCGCGGTCGGAGTCCAAGTCATCGGATTCATCTGGCTGCGTGAGTGTCACCCGGCCACGCTCCTACGCAAGCGACGCGACCGTCTTGTCAAGGAGACAGGCAACGAGAATCTGCATACCGAAGAGAAGGTAGAGACGCTCGCCTACAGCTTCTCCATGCGTTTGAGCGGCCGGTGCTCCTGTTCACAACGCAGCCCATCGTCTTGTGCATGGCCATCTACATGGCCTACCTCTTTGGGATAACGTACCTCATGCTCGCAACGTTCCCCGAGATCTGGACGGCGGTCTACCACGAGAGCCCCAGCATCGGCGGACTCAACTACCTCTCCATCGCCATCGGGTCGTTCGCCGGCCTCTTCTTCAACCTCAAGTTTGTTGACCACATCTACAAGACCCTCAAAGCGCGAAACAACAACGTCGGCAAGTTGGAATTCCGCATGCCGTCGTTAGCCATCGGCTCCGTCCTCAGCACCATCGGCCTCTTCTGGTACGGCTGGAGCATCGGGAACACGCACTGGATCATGCCCAACATCGGTGCTCTGATCTTCACCGCAGGCACGATTTCCTGCCTGCAGGGCATGCAGACGTACATCGTCGATAGTTACCAGACCTACGCAGCCAGCGCTATGGCCGCCTGCGCGATCCTTCGAAGTTTGGCGGGCTTTGGGTTTCCGCTCTTTGCTCCGTACATGTGCCGGTCTCTGGGCTATGGATGGGGGACTAGCGTGCTGGCGTTCGTTACCGTGGGTATTGGCTGGATAGCGCCTTTTGCGTTTTAGCGGTTTGGACCCAAGCTGCGTGCCATTTCCAGGTATGCTGCTGGCTAGAGTGGACTGGACGGAACCGTTGGGATAGTCAAGACTGGGTTGATTTCGCACCAGAGATTTGGTTCTTTGAAAGCTGGCATGGAAGAAGTAATAATTGTGACTTGCTGTATTTAATAAGTTACCATAGACAATCCCTCTCATGTATAGGTTTCTTGAAATGTACAGCTAATCCACAGTACAATGAGGCACGGCGTAAGACGCATCCTTATCTCTTAACAGGGTACCTTGCCAGTCTGATACCCCGCACCTCTTTCTACTTATGTATATGCAAGAGTCTCATCCATGCCATTCTCACTCATATAAGCGTTTCTCTGGAATTGCTGCGAGCTAGAATTCTACACTTAGCAGCATGGTCTGTGTGGGGTGCCAACAGCATCTGTCTCAAGATGCTACTTGAGGCTAACCAGTCACTGCTTCGATGGCATTGGTCGCTGACTGTGGCTGTTCTGTATTACTAGAGTTACATCCATAGAACTCTGTTCATTAGCTTCATTCATGGTCTGGTGAACGTTGGGACCTGGGAATTTGACTTAACACGTGGGAGAGTTGTAATCATGCCGAAGAGTCTAGAAGGGGATAATGATATGCCACTATGTCACAACCAGTAGCCAAGTTATTGCCTAGACAGAACAAGACATTCAGACGAGACATGTCAATCATCTCAATGCATCATAAACATGCTCGAATGGTCGGATGTGATTGGTGGTGCAGATACACAGAAGAAAATGTCAACCAATCATATCACAGAGTGGAGGGAGTGCTCTCTTCTACACACTCTGATTGGTTAATTTATAGATCAGCCAAATAAAGCCATTAAAGCTTAGCAGGCCCACTTCTGTGTATACCTTCCTGTTCCTGATCGGCTCTGGATATTATTGAAAATTTAGACGGTGACAACATCTGGGCCAATCTGGGGTTTGACTGTAGCGATGCTCCCTCGAGTACACATTGGTGATTAATGAAGCAATAAACACGCTGATCTCAATAGAAAAGAATCTAAATATCCCCACTTCCTTGATCAAACCCGGAAATCGGCATTAACTGCAAGATCCGACTGTATTACTGGCCATGAGGACATATCGCTTACCAGTAGATATCTCCGATAGGCTGTACTAACAATAGTAGGTGCACAAGTCCTGCCTGTAGGATGTGACGATCAGCGCATGTGCTGGCGAGTGTCACTCTTCATTTGTTGATCCTGACAGCAGTATGTTGTGGTACCAACAGGATAATCAAGGTACTTGCATTAATATAAAAGGATGTCGAACTGGCCAACAGGTGATAATGAGCAAGGACTAACTTCCATTCATCATGAAGGCCAACACTTTGGTGCCCTTGCTGGGTCTCTCTGGCAGCGCTGCCGCTGCGGCCGTGGCTGCGTCCAGCAACACCCCCTTTGGGTATGCCTCTGGCTCCAAGGAGTCCATTGCCAACCTGAAGGACAAGGTCGAGAATGTCGTGTGGATTCTGCTGGAGAACCGTAGTTTCGACAACATCCTGGGTGGTGTGAAGCGCAAGGGTCTGGACAACGTTGTCAACAACGGCCCCTTCTGCAACCCCCAGAATGTGAGCGATCCCAGCAGCACCAAGTGGTGCAGCGTCTACAAGGACTTTGACTCGGTCAAACACGACCCTGATCACTCGATCACCGGTTACAACATGGAGTTGTATGGTACGTACACTCCAAGCACCGCGGCCATCGCCAACGGGACCCTGAAGCCCAGCATGAACGGCTTCGTGGAGCAGCAGCTGGTGCACCACAAGGGCATGGATCCCAAGGTGGCCAGTGAGGAGGTCATGGGCTACTACTCCGAGGACGAGATCCCCACTCTCGTCAACCTGATTGACGAGTTCACCACCTTCAACTACTGGCACTCTTGTGTCCCTGGTGTAAGTCACTATTCCTGCTGAGAGTCCAACGATACTGACGAGAATAGCCCACCAACCCCAACCGCCTGTGCGCTCTTTCCGGTACCTCCGATGGCCACGGCAACAACGACAACAGCTTCGACGTCTCTGGCATCGACATCTCCAGCATCTTCCAGGCTGCCAGCGAGAAGGACATCACCTGGAAGAACTACGACGGCACCAACGGTGCCTTCCTTTCCGATGCTCTCTTCTTCAACTGGACCGTCCAGAACGCCAAGCAGAACGTCGTCCCTCTCGAGAACTTCTACCAGGACGCCTACCTCGGCCTCCTGCCCCAGCTCTCCTACATCAACCCCTCCTGCTGCGACCTCGACACCAACTCCATGCACCCCTCTGGCAACGTCTCTTTCGGCCAGGTCCTCGTCAAGCAGGTCTACGATGCCATCCGAACCGGTCCCCAGTGGGACAAGACCCTCCTGCTCGTCACCTTCGACGAGACCGGCGGTTTCTACGACCACGTCCAGCCCCATCTGGCCGTCCGCCCAGACAGCAAGACCTACACCGAGAAGGCCGCCGACGGCAGCTCCTACACCTTTAACTTTGACCGTCTGGGCGGCCGTATGCCTACCTGGCTTATCTCGCCGTACACGCCCAAGGGACACATTGAGAACTACGGTGTCGACCCTGCCACCGGCAAGTCTGCCTCGTACAGTGCCACCTCTGTTCTCAAGACCCTTGGATATCTCTGGGATCTGAAGGACTTTACTCCTCGTGTTTCGCACTCGCCTGCCTTTGACCATCTGATTGGTCCTAAGAAGCGCGATGCGCCTCCAACCTTGGCTAACCCCCATCCTTTCCCTGATGCCGTTTAAGAGTTGATTGCGAACCTACTCAAAATTATGAAGATGCCTTAAGAGATTTAAGCATTGGATATTGCTCTTTGCCTTCTTGTATATGATGTTCTCATTCTGATCTTATAAAATATGACCTTATCTACTGAAGCAATTCATGTTCGAGGATATACGAGTTTGATTTCTGAACCACGAATGATTTTACAAGTGGTGGCGGAACTAATGCACCGTCCTTTTCGCATCGGTAGGTTTCTGTCCAGTAAGCACGTGGAAATAAGAATAGAGATGCAGGTTCTCCAGCTGCAGCTCTTCACGAACACGGGCTAGGAGCGCATCTGTATCCTCTTTCGACCAGCCTAATGTACGAGTGAACAGTCGCATAGAATACACCTCTAGACTTTTCAACAGCTGGTAGGTGTAAGTTCCTCCAACTCTCTTCCATTTGGGGTCCTCGCTCCATTCTCCCAGTGGGACCTATAAAGCTTAGTACGGCTCTTACACATGACAGATGGGTAGGGGAAATGAGCCTACCTTGAATACCTGCTCCGTTACCTCCACAAACTCAGCACTCTCCATCCACTCCCTCTGCTTCCCGGCAACATTGATCCTCTTCCCAAACTTCTCTGCCGCTTCCTCCAACAGCTCCTGCCACTGTCGTACTGCGTCTGGAACACCGCTATCACCATCATCAGAGCAAAGCCGAATATCATGTTCCTTGACTTCCAACCATCCACCAGGGACCAGATGCTTGTAGGCATTCTGATAAAAGCCCTCCCAATCTGCAAGCAGCCCACCCAGGGACTGCGCGTGGATGAGATGGAACGCCTGCTTAGCCGAGAACGGCCAGTCCCCTTCGAGATCATGGTGCACAAGCCAGGTGCAGTCAGACCGCTGCATGTAGGTAGGATCCATAGCGGTGAGGCGAGCCCCGGCATGCTCACTATCATGGAAGTTTTCAACCCAGACGGCACTCCGTGTAGCAAAGTCAAGAACCTTGTGGTTTCTCTTCAATGGAGTTGGGAGCGGCGCGACGAAGAGCTTATCATCTAGCACCATGCGCCAGACATAATCGACTGCGCCATGGCTCGCTTGGGCGTCCTTATCATCCGGAAAAGGGAATTCGGCCTTGAAGCCATAGTACCGATGTCCGTTCTCGTAGGTGTGATTGTTTCGGGCTTCCAGCCAGCTTTTCTCCATTTGTGCCGTATCGTGGGTATAATTCCATATCGAATAGGACGGGTGTGAGAGTTGAATTGGAGAGGCAGTGGGTATATAGCTATATATAGATGCCTTAATACTAAAGCCTTGGCTAAGCTTGGCTTACATTAAATGCTTGTCTGGGTGGGGGGGTACTGTTTATCATTTTTTTGCATATAAACCCTAACTTAAGGAATTACAATTTGCTATGGAATGTTCATTGTGCTCTGCAAATCTAATCCATTATGCCGCGAACCACTTGTCTTGCAGAAGCTCTGCGGCGGAAGGTCTCTCTCTTGGATCAAGCTTCATTACTTTTAAAACAAATTCCTTGTCCTCCTTGGATATTTCCTGTTCTGAAATCCGGGGGAAAAGCTTTCTCCTTTCGGGGGGAATGCTTTGCATGATATATGCGAGGGCATTCAACTTCTCCTGAGGGCAGATGTCGTGATATGTCAACGGGAATGGCCCAAAGAACTCACACTGCCTCTGAAGAATCTTTAGTTCGTAATCATCATGATCTGCGGGAACGTCTGGTTTGAATATGAAGAAGTTGCCTCCATATAGCAGGGTTATAAGCTGGTGGAGAGTCAGTGTTGCTCGATAACTTAAAAGAGGTTGGAACGAACATACTAATGCTCCAAAGGACCACATGTCTGTTGGTGTACCCCAGCCGATTCGGAGCTGTGCTTCAGGGCTCCTCCAGATAGGTGATCCAATCAAGTCACCATCCTTGGCATATGCAGAATCCGAAGGGACCGTACTCCCACAGTCTGCTACTTGAACATCTGTAAATCGCACATCCCCCTGGCCATAGTTGACAAGAATGTTGTCGGGCTTGATGTCTTCAAGAAAGATAAGATAGTGAATGTAGCCCAGATGATGATTGCACTTACCTGTGTGCACAAAATTATCCTCATGGAGAACCTTGAGGGCTTCTAGAATCCTTCTTGCAACATATCTGATCTCCAGATTCGTCAGTCGTTGAGTGACAGACGCGTTCAGAAGATGGTCGTCTAAATATCTCAAAACTATGGCTGGTGGATCAGATGGCCCGACTATTTCATCGATTAAAGGGCGTAGGAAGGGGGTACGAGATTGAAAGCGGTTCAACACGTCACGCTCATTCTGGAGGCAAAAATGATGGATGCTTTTCACAATCACGGGTTCATTGCTTTCGCACCTGCTAAACAGTCCATCCATTATAAACTGATCTTTAATGTTTCGTGCGTTCGTACCTTGCAAGCCAAACTGTCTCTTGTAGTTGTTTGCTAACGGTGTATATTCCATTCTGACCCCGAAGGAATTGGCCTATTCGGAGGGAAGACATCATAGCGACTTGCTTGGATCTGAGCTTTATCGTCTTTTCTTGCTCTTTGCTCTTGGTTTCTTGATGGAAGTGGAAGAGCTCTCACCAGCAGGCCCAAGGGGCAGATCCAATTATGCCAAGGACCAAGGTATCCGGGATCGGACTTTTGAGCTGGCGGGTACGGCGGACTAATTTATACAAAAATCTGTTAAATTCCAATGGCCGTAGCTGCCCATACAGAGTTACCTACTTGTATACCTGAAATACCGGGCAAGTGAGATTATTCATCCCACATCTCTTTTCTGCGGTGTTCCTCACCCACCCGCAAATTTCCCACACCGGCAAATTTTAAACGAGGAAGTTAGTTTCTCTAGGTACAAAAGTGTGACTCTATTCCCAACTCATCCCAAATCAGCTCAGCGAGCGTTTAGTCCCTGATTCAAGTCCTGCCCCTATGATTGAAGTTTTCTGAACTCCAGTTGCTGGTCTACCACATCCCGCACCATCTGGTCCCACGAGCGCCATCGCATCCCCAACTCTGCTTCTGCTTTGCTACTATCTGTTGAGAGAAACTCTTCCTCAATGTCTGGTGTGATCTTTGCCCCAAGGTCTGGATAGTTCCGCTGAATGATGTCTGCTACTTCTTTCCAGGTCCCGCCCTTCGCTGAAAGCAGATACCTTGACCCATCTGGGATGGCTGGATCCAGGGCCTTGAGGTGTGCTTCAACAACATCATCAATATGCACACCAGGAACCCGGGAGTAAGAGTGATGAGGGATGCCTGCCATGATAGCATACCACAGAAGACCATTTGAGGATGCTTGGATCTCCGCAGCATCGGTCTGCACCGGGTTGCGTCCGTACACAAACACAGGATGGAGTGTTACCAAGCCATACTGCGGCTTTGTGGTCTTCCAGAACTCCCATGCTGTTTTATTAGCGAGCAGTTTAGATGCGTGGTACAACCGCATAGGTATTCCCCGTGGGTCATTAGAGGCTGTAAAGTCCTCAGTCTCATCTACATCAAAGTCCCAGTCATTGTCCTCTGCGATGATGTCAGTCCAGTTACGATATAGGCGGCCCAGGAACCCTAAAATCTCACCTTTGATGACGCCACCAGATGGTATTCCGTCCAGGGGCATCAAGGCCGCAACCGATGAGGTGATCACGACCTTCTTGATACTTGGCACTCGAGCAGCCTCCTTGAGCAAGGCAGTCGTTGCTTTCACAGCGGGAGTGAAATAATACTCCTGATCTGTGCCACTGGGAATAGGATGTGCGAGATGGATGACATAGTCTGCTCCATCCAGCTGTCCTCTGAATTCGGCTTCAGCCGTCCAGTCGGAAACAGTAACAAATTCCACGTGTTCGCTATACCCAGACAGCAGATCCTGTAACTTGTCCGAGGGCTTTCGAACACAGATTCGCAATCGATATCCCGCTTTGAGTGCTGCGATGGCGGTGGCACTGCCAATGAAACCTGTTGCGCCGGTGATGAAGACCAATTGACGCGCCATAATGTGTAAAGCCAGGACTCAAACAATTTGGACAGTGTAGAATAGTCAGGTGTTCTTCTATCCTTTTGCGTGGATTTGGTCCTGGAATTACCACAGATTTATCTCCGACTGAGGCGGAGCGTGTTGGAGATGAGTCAGATGACGGATCTATAATCTTACGCCCCCCATTTCAACCATTGTAGGAAAAAGATCCACTCAGATGGTAATATTATACATCATGTGGAAAGACTTGAGGCTTATGTTTCGTGTCGGGGCGCCGGATCCCGCTCGCTGTTGCATCAGATGGTCAGACCGCTGCCGATTCGCCGTCCGCCTGGTGATGTTTGTGCTCTTTGTCTACACTGGTAGATTATGTAGATCTTCTTATGATAAACGATTGGATGACTGTTCAATGTCTCGATGCACTCCCAGACGTCCATATTTAGAAATGCCTTTGATCCATAGGACAAAAGCAACCAGAAAGAACTGAAACAATATCAGAGACTCCCTCACGGCTTCACCATCCTTCCAAATGAGTGAATTTGGCCAGGACGCCGTCCTTCGGCGCAATAGTCGCTCCCTCTCGCACCTCCAGTGGAGCGTCGGGGTATTGCAGTTCGAACTCAAAGCTCCCGACCACCGCAGCGAGGAGACACGCCAGTTCCGCCTTGGCGAACCCCTGCCCAATGCAACTGCGGGGACCGTGGAGGAAGCTCAGGAAAGCGTAGTTGCTGGTTGCGCCGCCGGTGTTGGCCTTCCCGGGGCCCATCCATCGATCGGGGTTGAACTGTTCCGCGTCTGTCCCCCAGAGCGCCGGCATATGATTGACAAGTTCCGGCGAGATGACGACTTGCGTGCCCTTGGGGATAGGCTTCCCCATCAGGGTGGTGTCTTTTAACGCCACGCGGACGGTATTTGGTACAGACGGGTGGAAGCGAATGACTTCGTTGCAGACGGCATTCAGATATTGGAGGCTGTCGATGGTCGCCGCGTCGATCGCACCGGGGGTCTCGACATTGATAGGCGGCAGGTTGGCGCGGACTTCGTCACGCAGGCGGGCCTGCACATCTGGGTGCTTGCAAAGCGCATATATGGCCCATTGAAGAGCGCCGGCGGTCGTCTCGTGGCCGGCGCCGAGGAAGGTCATCAACTGGTCGACGAGGTTCTCATCGTCAAAGTTGCCGCTGCGCATTGCGACGGAAATGATGTCGACCTCGGTGTCTGCGTCTGGATCTTCCATCTTTGCCTTTTGCTCGCGGATCATCCGCCGCGTGGCATCACGGATATTGCGGCAGCCCGTGTCAATGAGCTTATTCTGCTTGGTGGGTAGCTTTGCTAGCCATGTCGTATTCCCCAGGAGCATTCCAAGTATAAAAAGGATCTTTGTTCCCAGACCCGGTGTGGCGAAGATCATTTCGTAAGATTGGCTGAGACTGTTTTCAGGGTCGTGCAGGGAGCCGAAATCCCGGCCCATGCCCGCCAAACCAATGATATCCAGCGAGGATCGGCTGGCCCAGGTTCTCACTTGGATTGTGTTATCTTCGGGGGCTTCTCTGCTCTGCAGATCCTTTCGAATCAACTTGGCCATCTCGGTGCCCTTGGACCAGAAGACAGGATAGAGATCCTTGACATGGCGGTACGCAAAAGCTGGCTTGAGATTCTTCCGTTGAAACTACACGACTGATTGTAAGATTCAAAACGAGAAATAAAATGCACATTGCTGTTTCTTACCTTGTGCTCCTCGCCTTCGGCAATCAGGATTCCATTGCCCAGCACACGCCTCAATGTTTGCTGTATCACCAAGGGCTTTGCAAAGTCGTAGGCCTTGCTCACCAGAATCTCGCTCAGGACAGCAGGACTGGTTATCGTGAGCCTCTCCGTGTTTCCCACAATGTAGTAACGAAGAATTCCATCATTGGGAATAGTCTTGGCCCACTCCTTCATTAGCGCATGGGGGGTGTCGACGAGCAGACTACCCGTATTGCCCGTGAGCCAGTGCCGATTCTAGATGCAGTTAATTCGGAGTCAAGTGTGGCAACGGTGGATTCGATGGCTCACTGGTGGGGCCGGAAAGTGTTTCAACGGCGTGAAGAATTGAGGGTAGATAAATAGCTGATATAGCAGCTTTGATATGGTGATGCCTGTGATTAGAACGGCAATGGCCGCGATTCTGGAGCCGTGGATGGCGTATTCTGGCCGGAAGTAGACACCGGCTGCTACGCCGAGGCAGAGGACACCAAAGCAATTGTTAATACGTCCCATAATGGCGGTTGGTCTTCAAAGCCAATTCCGACAAAGGAAGTGAGGCCACCCTACTTCAATGATCTAGAGGATCAAGTCGCTGACCGACGGCTTGGGCCAACGCCTGAGCCTTGTCGCCACCTGAGACGAGTCGTATGATTGGTTTTTTGGTGTCACTTCTACCACAACCAAGCCTTGACACCCCTTATGCCACCGGGGCTCGGGCGCCGTCTCCGCGCTCGACTGTCAGGCAGTTACTCGGTATCTATCAGGATATGACAAATAGGGAGCAGAGTGCTGGGGCCCACTTTAGGCAGCTTGTCTATGAGCACATATTTGATTGCGCGACTAGTCTCTTGTAAGAGACTGCATTGGTTGCCCTTTAAAATTCTTCGCTGCCCCGTTTTCAGTGCCTACAAGTTCGTTCTAAGAATTCGTCTCATATATAGTTTAACCTCTCCCCCAAATCGCACCTGACTGATGGGCTATCAACCCTGGCACCTTGATTGACGCCCTTCCAAAAGAGAACAGACTCCCCCAAGGCTTCCATGGCCAGAGAATTGAAGTTTTCGTTCCCGGGAGCCGTCTTCGCGAAGCTCCTCAATTGCGGCAAAAACTCATCTGAGCCTCGAGCTAACTCCCCGCTCGTCGAGGTGATTGGGCCCATGGAGGCAAAAGAACCATCTGGATCTTGGAAAACAACACCATCGAAGGGTGAATCGTAGGTTTCGTGAGCCTCTGAATCCATGTAGTTGTAACCGCTTGTTGGGGGCGAGGGCAGCTCTGACATCAAATAAGGATTTGTTGGTCCTTCCGAGGTCGGCTTCTGCCGTTTGTGCTGAGTCTTCCTGGCCTCTATCACGTCGGTGACAATAAGTGACAGCTGGTATAGCCGTCGATTGTATGAGGCTTCTGCGCGGCAGTCGGTGATGGTCTGGAGCATCTCCACAAATTCTTGAAGCAGGTCGATGTCCCAACTGGACGCCTGACCGCAGACGATGGATGACAATACTTCGTAAAGGTATAGTGACGGAAGCGAGGCGAGAAAGCTATATCGGAACCAAACGGTCAGTCTCAGCCATCTGTGGTTCAAAATATACAAGGCAGTAGGAAAAAGTATCATTACAATGAGAAGACAGCCTGGCTCCCTTGGTCGGGTGGGGAATGCCACAGGCGTAACAAGAGTTTCAAACACATTCTAGCTACCTCGGGAGCCCGTTGAAACATGGGATCGGGATGGTGCTTGTGGGGCCAAATCAGGAGCAGCTGAACGGAAAGATATCTGATGGCCAACTGGAGATTCGAAGCGGAGCCTTCAAACGATTTCTGTATCTTGTCCAAGTCAACTCCCGATTCGGTGAGACAGTCTTGCAGTCTTGACAAAATCGTGGCTGCGAATTCTCGAACTTGCTCTTCGTCTCGCGCCTGCACATGAACAGCGTATATCTCCAAGTATACGGTCTCCTCTATCCTAGCCATCTCGGCCTTTGCAGCAAGGCAGGATGGGATACCGTTTTCCGAAGGCACCAGGTGTGCGTCGAAATAGACTTCGGAGACTGGTATACTGGGAGACGACCCAGCCGTCCAGCAAACGGCCTTATCAAGAACGTATAAGCAGTATGAAAGGTTTTGTCTTTCTTTGATGTCGTCGTCACTCAGTTGACCTTGAAAGGAGTGCCACTGGTGGATGCCAACGGACTTTGCACATCTGGTTGCTAGAGCAAGCAGCGTCTCGGATAGACCTATAGAGAGGTACACTTGCGCGACGATGTGCTTCTTGTTGTCAGTGATTCAGTGCAACCAGGAAAGGTGGGTAGTAGTCGGAGACGTACCAGAGATAAGAGTGCCTGCACGTTGATGAGGTACGGCGACACAAGTTGGTCAATATTGCTGACAGCGCGCTTCGCGTTTGTCAAAAAGCCCGCAATGAGGTCAAAGTCGATTGACGAGGTCTTGCGGGTCTGCTTGGACATCATTGACTCCCGCTGGTGGGAGCCTAGGGAGTCCGCTGACATGGCCAGGAGGATGAGGTTGTTGCAGCAGACGATAGAAGCAAGATCCCGTTCGGATGGCGCTGATTGCCGCAAAGTAGTAGCCAGTCGAGCGAACCTTTTCTTTGTCCAGATAGGAAAATGATCATTGGTCGTTGTAAAGTAGGGCTCGATCATTGCGTCCAAAATGGCAAAGGGAGGCATCGCGGGCGGTGACTTTTCCCCAGGAAGAATCACTTCCCCCCGGCCAACCAGAAGATCAATCTTGCGTTGTGCTTGCATCACGCATTCCTTCACGGAGTGCCTTTCGATGTCAGGACTTTGAGAGAGCTCATCCTTGATGTTGAGCATTAGTGACTCGAGAGATGTCGGGCCAAAGCATCTCTCGTCACTGTTTTGGTCCACGAGAAAACGACCAAGCGGCCTCGTGAATACGGGCGATTTTAACGAGTCAGGGAACCGTTGATCAGTCAATTGCGGTGTAGGGCTCGCTGGGCTGGCTGGGCGCCTTGAGAAAGGTGAGACAGTCGATGAACCCTCGAAAAGGCGCTTCAAGGACCTTTGAGTGTCCGCCAATGAAGTCTTCAAAAGCCGTCCGTCATTTAGAAATCGTCTACAGATGTATATGGACAGCGTCCAGCTTACCTCGAGTTGTTMAAGGCGACTACCCATTCCGAGGATAGTATGGCTTCTATGAATCATAAGCTCGGAACAACAGTGCATATAGTAGTGACTAGTACACACAGAAGAGTTGTTTGATTGCACTTTTTGCCTTGACCGGACCACTCACACTGCAAGCCCAGGCGGCCACAGTTCCTGCAAGAGGGCTTTTCTCGACTGCAGCGTATCTTCCTGGCCCGGCATTGGTCACACACTGCTCGAAATGATTGGTTACCTACCTATGGTTTGCTTGTTTTGGGGCCGACGCTCGCTTACCTGTGTAGTCGTCTCTACTAAGTTCCTTGGCCATTGTCGCAGTTTTGCCAGGAAGGAGTCGTAGGCCGCGCGAATCTTTGATTATCCTCGGGATAGGTAGAGATCGGGTCTAACGTACAGCTTGACACTTTACAATGACTGGGGTAAGAGCATTTATAGGGGAACAAGGCTCCGTTTGCCAGCCGCAGTAGGGATTACCACCATCCATTTCCTTTCTGCATGCTGACGCATTCTTACCGGGCCACTTGAACATCACCAGCGACTGAGAACCAAGGCCAAGTATGCACAGGGCCAACCAGGGCCCGTCAATGGAGAGTGGTTCGATGTCCCAACCCAATTCGACAACATCAGCCTGTTAAGAGGCTGAGGAAAATGTACTCTCCCCGTTCTAGACTTGCTGCTCATTTTTCAGTGTAAGCGCGGTTGGCATTAACACACTAATATATTAGATTACCGTAGTATCAAAGCCGAAAAGGGAAACGAATATAGTTTGAAAATATTAGACATGGAGGCGATGTAGTCACGATGTACATCGGGATCTGCTGGATAAATATGCTGTTGTAGTTGTCGAGTTTCGGCTGAATCCATCAAGCCATGATCGAATTCTCTTCTGCCGTTGTCCGCCATGGCTGATTGACCGAAATCTTATTTTGATAGCATAATAATATTCTCATACAGCTTTCCGGAGCTTGTACCGGTGCAATAATTCGGCAATTACTTTCTGAAGTGGTTGAGTTTCGTATATGGTTTAGGTCTGACCACCATTTGGATTGGCTGTATGAAATAGGTAGGAGGATAGACTGCCAACTCCGGAGGAGCTGCTGATAATCTACTGGCAAGACAGGACCTTGTGTGGTTCGAGTTGGAGGTATTTTCCGGGTCGCTGCTGGCTCCACGGGAGAGAAGTCATTCAGTCCTGAGCTACAGAGTATATTCACATATCTGTCTCGATAGACCTGACGGAGCTCAGTTAAGATGCGGGACACACCCAGGTTACACTGCGAAGTCACACCCCAAACAGATTCTGCAAGTTCGTCACACCAAAGAAGACTATCAAAACAAAAGTATTTGGTCAAGTGGAACCAGCCCAAAATGCAACGGCGCCATGCTGCGTTGTGGAACCTGCTAGCAGTTACAACAACCCTATGCATGATATAATACCAGACTGAAGGCAGTAAGAGGTCTGCAGAATGGTGACACTAGCATGAGGGGGGTGGCGCATCTCTTAGCAGATTGACGCCCGTGATGGCGTGTGCTTACTGCTTAGATGCAATAGCGCCCAAGCACGGACAACATCAGCCAATTGACTTCCGCCTCTGGAGAAACAAGACCTACGGCACATTCCGGCGGCGATCTTCCGCCGATCGTTAGTGAGTCAGTTCCCGAGCACAGTCAGCCTCTATCTCAGCTGGTGGAGGCGAACGGACGGACGTAAGCTTATCTGCAGGAAGGGTATTACCCCTCACCTGGCGCCAATATGTTCTTTGGTGTGGTTCCCATGCCCTCGGCCAAGCCAATTGGTCATGCTTATGATGCTTGCCTCGCTGGCACTCGGTTATTGTGCCGGCCGGTTGACTGGGTAGAGTGAGACTGGAACGGAGGGGTAAGTGTGAGCTAGATATTGGGGAGAGACTAGGTGCAGTAGCCTGTGAGGCGGATTAACCCCTTGAAGGGGAGACTAAGGAGTCTGGAATTCAACGTTGCTGTGCTTGAAACGAAGATAACGCGCTATCAGCTCAATAATTCTTAAGAGCGACTAGACCTTATTTGAAGACGCTGGAGCGATCCGGGTAATATTCCGTAGTTCCCTCATCTCGGGGACGGGACCCGTCATCAGCGCCCACTTGGTCAGGCCGGTGAAGGCTCCGACTGGCTCCTTGCATTGTCTGGCATCTCTAGCATAATAATTCATATTTCCCATAGAGCTTGACAAGATCGACGGGACGAGGTTCAATTGATCGTGACTTCGCGAGGCGTTGGTTGAATGTTCAATTGCGCCCTAGCAGAATCTACCTCACCTGGAAGACTCCGGAGTAGAAAGAAAGCATGAAACCAGATCAGGACTTGTCTGGCAAGGTATGTACGTCTTGCGGATACTGGTCTCGCTGACAGATCTCGTAGACTGCCTTTATAACGGGTGGCTCCGGTGGATTAGGAAAAGCGATTGCCAACATACTTGCTGCGCGTGGTTTGTGAATCCTCCCGCTGGAAAACCTAGATTTTCACTGATCCCAAGCTAAGGTGACCATGTCACAATATTCGCGCGACGGCCGGGTCCTCTAGAAGATGCGAAGAATGAGATAGTCGGGAATTGTGTGGATGCGGATCGGCAAGAGATCAATGCCGTGGCTGTGAATATGGCTGATGCCTCTGCGGTATGGTTGCTCCGAATCCAGAAAACCCAAATGCTCAGAGAGACTGCAGCATGCGAGTGGGCTTTCCCTAACCAACACACAGGTCTCGGAAGCATTCAGGTCCCAACCCCGAATGGCGGATTTCATGTATTGCTGCGCGGGGGGAAACCATGCTGAGAACGGGTTTTTCATCGATCTCAAAGCCACGCAGCTCGATTCTTGCATGAAGAATAATTATTATTCCACTGCTTATGCTGCCAAGGCCATGTTGGATATCTGGGTTGAGAACGACAAGAAACCTACCGCCATCGATATACCCAAGACCAGAAAGATTGTTTTCGCCAACAGTGCGGCGGCGTTCTTGGGGTTACCAGGGAGCGTTGCTTATACGCGTAAGCCGATGATCTTGATATGTTGATTCGAGTCTGTTGTCATCTTCTGGCTAACACTATCCAACTCAAAGCCGCCAAAAGCGCAGTCCGAGCCCTTGCAGACACCCTGCGCTTTGAAGTCCTCCGCCACAACTCCTCCAGTACCACCTACACAATCCACATCGCCTTTCCGGCCGACTTCATCTCCCCTGGGTTCGTCCTCGAACAAGACACCAAACCTGACCTCACGAAGCGGATACAGGGGACCAACGTCGCCACTTTCGCGGAGCTGGAGGAGAAATTGCCTTCTTCGGAGAATGTGGCTCAGGGGATAGTTGCGCGGGTAGATAAAGGGGATTTTATTATCTGCCAGGATTCCTTGGCTGCGAGCCTTTTGTTTACGAATATGGTTGGATTGAGCCCGAAGAGAGGACTTGGGATTGTGGATTCGTTGTTGAGCGTGGTGATGGGGTGGTTTATCGTGCCGGTGTTGAGGAGGAGATGGGAGAGGATGTGTAGGGAAGATGGTAGCAACAACCGGTCACGATGAGGGGAGGCTCACCAAGGTCCTAGGGGCATCTCGTTTGAGATTGAGTGCCAGATTTGTCAATTTATACATTCGATGATTATGTTGCATCTTCAGGCATAGAAAGAAGTTGTTGCTCTACAGCCGGCCAGACTTCTTTCCGCAAACTGTACAACAACCAGAAATTACCCGCAGCGTCTTTTCCAATCACCACGCCAGTGTTTCGCGTTGCGTAGCCTTTCGTCCCAGTTCCTTGGATGCAAGATGGTCTGCCCAGCTGATTGCTTCGCTTGTCCGTTGCCATTCCCTTTCTTTCGACGGCGGCGGAGAAATCAACTTGAAACAGTTTTGCTTTGACCCAGTTTGACATCATTACCGTGTACATACTCGGATTTCCGAATAGGGCTGGATGATGTGCATTGTCCAGCGTATCTCTTTGGATGGTGTACAGTGCCTGGAGTTGTTCGGCATTCCGTTGCTGTATAAGAGACTTGCGGATTTCAGATGCGGTGAAGCTTAGAGGTTCTTCGAGGACCTGGCGAACGGAAAGGAATGTCAGGGTTGCGAATACGGCATTGGTTACCAATGCACATGTAGCGGATGGTATGTGGCCAAGCTCTGCTAAGATTGACCGGCAACAGTATGTATTCCGCATGTTAACTGTGCGGCTGGGGCAAGGCTTTTCGGCTCGGAGAACGACGCGCGTCCACCAGGCAAACAGAATGTCACCCTCGCTGACGAAAAGGGGTTTGTCGCCGTCGTTGGCGTCGCGCGATGCAAGCTCCCCCATCGCCTTATATCGCATCTGTTGCAGGTATTTTGCGGGCAAGAAGATAATCCGTTCCTCCTCCCGGCGCTGCCAAAACAGCTCAACCGTCAGAATATACCGCAATGCAAACAAAAACCATGTCCACCCTATGAGTAGCGTGTCGGCAAAGACGTATTTTTGCAGCGGTTCGGTCTTCGACTCGGCGAGGCCAGCTAAAGGATCATGAGCGAATCCCACAAACGGCTTCACTTCATCTTCTCGTCCTCGCAGCACTGAAGACCAGGCGTCCAGAACGGCATCCAGGCCCATCATGTCCGTCAAGCTATGAAGGAAAGAAACGGTAACAAGTGTCGCGTCTCGGAAGGTGATAATGCGAACCCCCAGCTGGGGACAGTCTGAACAAAGCCAACCCTCCAAGCGATCGGGGAAAGCAGGAGTCCGGATTAATGATCTGAACTCGGGTGTAGTCGTATATGTAATGCCCAGAACGGACGGGCGACCAGCGGCATCAAGGTGGTGAGGTTGAGCTAAACGCGATGCTTGTGGATGGTCGGCCACCTTCATGTTATATGCGACCGTGGAGTATGCGAAGCCAGGCCGCTTGTCGTCGAAACATTGTGGAACATGGTATTCTAGTCCTCCCTCTGCATTCCTCCGGATTCGAGCACCGAGTTTCCGCCAGTCTCCTAACTCCAGCAGCCGGGATAGCGCACACCGAAGCTTCTCCGGGTCCAGGATGTCATCGAAGCGGAAAGTGACGTCGAAGGAAAGGCCTCGTGTATGATGGTCATCATCCCAGTAGTGGAAGGGAATGATTGTGTCGGTTGGTACGGTCGGCGGAGGGGCAGACTCTCTCCCAAATCCAAGAAAACCCATGACAAGTTGCCTCTTGGAGCCTCTGGGTCGACAACATAGGTATTCTGGTTGTGATTGTGATTGTGGTCCTGATCGTGGTCACGGTCGCAGTCACTGCCTTTCATGATAATGCTGCCTAGGTGAGTTTGGCGGCTTTGGCCCACCAACCGGGCCGAGCCTTCGAGCCCGGGGCCGGAGCCCGGAACCCGCGCGGACCGGCGCCTCATCGAGTCATCCACCAAACTCAGGTTACGCTTGGGAAAGAGAATTCGAAGGTTCAGTCAGCATCTTGGGCCACCCACATCTCTGTTACAGAGAACATACTCGTTCATCCTGTCATTTGGCTCCTTCATCCTCAGGGCACGTGATGGTCTGGATCTGCTGAGTAATATCGACCAGCGAACCAAGGGGTCTCTCTGCTTCCAGCTTCTTTGGCCTCTCAAATACAGAATTTATCACTCTCATAGACACGCTTCCATTACCTTATCTCCAGCACACTGCGGTGGACCAACTATTCGGTAAGCATCTCATCTCTGCAACTAAAAACTCGACTACTACTTTGCGAGTGTGTCTCTGATTGAGCTTGAGCCCTAAGCCGGCGTGGCCCGAGAGTTAAACTATCGTGCCAAGCATGGGCCAGGCCGAGATATCCGCATTCGCAGGTCGACAAGAATCCAACTCGGAACCCATATCAGAAACACAAGGAAAGGCAGAAACAGACACAGAGGCAGAGGCAGGCGGGACGGAAGTTCCTGCAGAGAAAAATGGCGAGGATGATGTCGAGCGGACACCAAAGAAATCACTGGCCTTTAAACTCGCTTTCATAGGCCTCGCTGCCAGCATGTTTGTGTTCCAGTTGGATGCAACGGCCCTCGGTATCGCCCTTCCAGTGAGCAATACCACATTTTCTCATCTGATGCTGAATCGCCCCCAAGACTAACCTCATCGGTAGACCATAGCTGCTGATCTCAAGGGCGAGAGTTTAGAGTCCTTCTGGGCGAACTTGTCCTACACCCTATGTGGTCTCGTCATGCAACCGGTGTGGGCCAGTATCTCGACCGCGTTCGGTCGGAAACCGCCTCTCTACGTATCCATGGCGTTATTCTTCATCGGATCCATCGTCTTTGCCGTGGCCCAAAATATGAACACGATTATCGTCGGCCGCGTACTTCAAGGGTTCGGTGGTGGAGGAATTGACGTGCTGGCGGAGGTAATTCTCGCAGATATGACGACGCTACAGGAACGCTCGAAATATCTGGGCTTGATGGCCGTTCCCATGGCTATTGGCAATATCATGGGGCCCTCGGTTGGTGCACTGTTCGCGACTTATGCGAGCTGGAGATGGATTGGATGGGTGAACTTGCCGTTGCTAGGGATCGGTACGCCGTTGGTGTTCTTCTTCCTCAAGCTACGACCGGTCCCCCTCGATGCATCGCTGGCCAAGAATTTGAACCGCCTCGATTGGATTGGTATGGTGTTGGTCGTCGTCGGGATCACGATCTTTGTGTTACCCCTCAGTTGGGCTGGCTCCTTATTTCCATGGTCTTCCTGGCAGACTCTCGTCCCAATGTTCTTAGGGGTTGCGGTACTGGTCATATTTGCTTTCTACGAAGCGAAACCCGAAGCCCCTATTGTTCCGCATCGACTCTTCCACTCGAAGACTGGAAACATGACGTTAGCCGGAGGCTTCCTCCATGGCGCGGTTCTGGTCTCGCTTTTGCAGTACTTACCCTTGCTTTACCAAGCCGTACAACTCGAAACAGCCATTTTGTCGGCCATCTTCCTGCTGCCCACCGTCATTACTAGTGTGGTGGTCGCAGCTGCCTCCATGATGATGGTTCCGTTGTTTGGTGGATATGTATGGATCCTTAGGCTGGCATGGATCATACTCACGCTGGGAACTGGCTTGCTGGCCCTGTTCGACGTAGGATCGTCGTCATCCATGCGGCTCGGACTTCCCATCCTCTGGGGAGCGGGAGTTGCCTTGCTGCGTCTCAATCTTCTTCCCATGCAAGCGAGCGTCAAAAACATCGACGACACAGGCCTAGCGATCGGACAATTTCTCACAATTCGCATGTTTGGAGGTCTCGTCGGCCTCACGATCTCTTCAACCATTTTCAACTCTGTCTTCTCGACATCCGTCTCCGCCACTACAGTCCAACTTACCGGTCCTCTGGCCCCTCTCAAGGACGTCGCCAATGCGGTTGCCTTTATTGACAAGCTAAGATCACTAGACGTTCCTGTTGAAACGCTTGATCAGGTTCTGAGGGTCTATCTAAAGTGCTTCCAGACGATCTTTTACACAATGACGGGGCTTAGTGGACTGGGGTTGGTGACTTCGCTGTTCGTGGATGAGATTGATCTGAAGTCGCAGGGTCTCGGGAATCAGCGCTTCGAGGAATAGTCGGAAAAAGGATGGATAAAGCGTTTGCAAAATATCAAGCAGAGTATATCATCCAAGTAGCCTGTACAATATAGCTTTATGTACCACTCCTAAATCTTGTCATAATCAATTGTATCCCATTGTTTGGGCTGGTTGAGAACATCCTGCAAATCATCCATCGCACCCGGAAGATCATCCAAACCCAGATGCAATGCCAACTCGATATAATCCTTTGTCCACAAGCCAGGCGAGCCCCGAGGGTACTGCGACCTAAACCCCACAAATCGCTGCGCGCGCTTCGACAACTTCCTCACGGTTTCCAGCGTGATGATGAAAGGATGTGCTTCCGCCGGAGTCAGGAAACTGGGGATGACGGTCAGCTGTATACATTTCCTTTCCATCTCGGTTTTGTTCTCGCCCATTGCATGGATGACCTTCCCCCCGATCAGGAGACAGTCCCCAGTCTCCATCTCGGCCGGGATCGTCTGCTCCATGTTCCCGCGTTGATGAAACGGCCATTTGTTGCTGCCGGGGATGATGCGCGTTGCACCATTGTCATCGGTAAAGTCCGAAAACGCAAAGAGGAAGTTGATCTGCGGTTCTGTGCCTTCCGGTCCGAGCTGGGCGTAGGGAGGGTAGGAGGTCAGATCGCGGTGCAGGACCTGCGCGGGCTGCGGTCCGGACGCGTTGAGCGTCGTCGCCGCCGAGAGCCAGTAGTCCCCGTTCTGCCCGCCTTCGCTGTAGCAGCGTCTGCAGATGGCGTGGACGAAGTCGTTTTCGAGGATGCGCGCGCGAAACGTCGCGCTGTGGTTGATGAGGTCGCCTGCGCGCTTGGTTTTGGGGCCGTGGAAGGCTGCCAGGTCTGCGTGGGGCACCCGGGAGCCCCGTTGGACTGACTCGATGCGGGCCTCGAGTTCGGTGGTGATCTGCTTCGCCTCAGTGGTGGTGAGCATGTGTTTCAGGATGACGCCGCCGCTTTCTTGCCAGTGCTTGAACACTTCGTCCAGGGGTGTGTCG